CCCTGCTTTGCCCCACAATGGGGATTGAGCCCGAAACCCGGGCATGTGTCCTGACCCTAATTGAACTGTGACTTCTGGTTCATAGGTCAATGCTCAACCACTGAGCCACACTGGCTGGGCGAAGGCAAATATTTTAAGAAATTGCAAATCTTACAGTGTTTAAACTGTCACCATTCTTGCTCTGTGGCTCTGTCCTCTCTCAAAAGATGTTTTATCCTTATATCCTTTATCCTTTATCCTGGAAAAGAAGCTCACCCTGCTACTTCTCTCCTTCAGTTCTCCTTCCTTCCTTTCTAGTGCCCAGAACTTGTGGTGCTATTAGAGCAGTGTGCTGAGTGTGAATCTGTGTACTGGCCTCCGGGCCTTTTGTCATCTGACCTGCCCTCTGGCCTACTCAGTCCTTGGCCCCTTCTTTGTGGTAAACAACCAAGCAGATCCAGAAAGAGAAGACTTCCTTGGGTCACCAGTCTAGCTGGGAGCTGGTCTCTTGATCGGGATCCAGGCCTTCTCTTCGCCCAAGCAGATTCCCAGGGGCAGAACCTGAGTTGCTGAATACAGTGTTGGCCAAACAGAAGTTATGATGGGAACTAATGCCACCTTTCATGCCTCTTGCTGCCAGAAGGTTTGGAAGAGCTCTGGTTTGTCCAGGAAGCCCTGAGCTTAGAGATGAGGTGGGCAGAGCAAGAAAGTGTGGGACATGGAGGGGTTCGCTTTCTGCTCTGGTCAGTGTGTTTTATTTTGAGGACACGTAGAAACCCCAGCCCAGCCCTCACCCCACCCTACATGCAGTCAGGGGTCTCTTCTAGGTATACTCATGACTTTTGCAGAAGCAGCAGGTGTCATGGGGTCAAGAGAAAGTGTGACTGAAACTGTCCACTTATAGCTTGGTTGCTGAACTCTGAGAGACATTGGTGGGAAACAAATGCTGGTGTCTGGGACGATGCAAACAGCCAGATCCAGAGGCTGTGTGCTGTCCTACTTCCTTCCTGTCCCCAGGAGAGGGCAGGGGCACTGAGAAGGGTGGCATTGGTCCTGGACTCTTCATTTCATTGTTCTCTGAACTCCCCTCTCTTTTCCTAGAGGGACATGAGACAGCTTCCTGCAGATAGCAGCCCTCAGTCATCCTAACCTCATGGCTGCTTGTGACCCAGAGGATGGTGTGTAGGATTTGGAAGGGTTGGGAAGGATGGCAGCTGGAACAGCAGGCACCCCTTCCCCCATCCTTTTTCACAGACCTGTGTCATCCGGGCCTGGGACCGCGGAAAGCCCCTGCTCTTCTGCCCAGCGATGAACACTGCCATGTGGGAGCATCCCCTTACCTCGCAGCAGGTGGGCCAGCTCCAGGCCTTTGGCTATATCGAGATCCCCTGTGTGGCCAAGAAGCTGGTGTGTGGAGACCAAGGTGGGCATCTGCCAGGCTTACAGCCTGTCCTCATGGCCCATGGTCAGATCTGGATTAAGATCCCAGCCTGTTGTGACCTCAGGCAAAACCATTCTCCTCCGAGCCCAGCTTTCTCATCTGGAAAATGGAAATCATAATTCCTTCCCCCTCAGAATTGTTAGGATTAAATAAGATAGTTCATGTAAGGTGCCTGATACCCCTGGCACACAGCCCGTGCATAGTTCATGACGGCTACTGTAACTGTTTCTGGGGCCTGTCCTGGTAGGTTTCAGAAGGATGTGAGGGTCTGGCTCAGGCAGAAGGTCCTGTCCTTCTCAGGCACTGGGGTCTGGGTGGAGCCTTTGGGGGAGTACCGGGTGGGATGGGAGTCGGGGGTGGTACCCTGCCTCAGTCTGCAGGGCCACAGCAGAACTTTGTTCCCTAGGTTTGGGGGCCATGGCTGAGGTGGACACCATTGTGGACAAAGTGAAGGAAGTTCTCTCCCAGCATGCTGGCTTTCAACAGGGTTGAACCCAGGATCTCTCATGTGTGTCCCTCTGTACCCAGTGTGTTTTCAGGCCTGTCAGTGAAGGTGGACATTGGCAAAGTATGGCAGGAATTCACCTTTGCTGAGTAGGGGTCTAGCCTGGGTCTGCTCCACAGTCTCCAAGGGCCCGACCTGCCCCAAGGTAAATTGGCCCAGGTCTCTACTTCTTTCAGCCAGAAGACTCCTTGCTATCTGGAGTTCCTCCCCTCCTTTTCCTGGGATGGTTCCAGCAAGCCAGAGGGGCAAGCTGCTGCATTGTCCCTGAGCCTCTAGGAGGGGACTGATTGACTGGCCAACCTGATTCCACATTGTTCCCAGGAACCACTTTTAGAAATGGTCTCAGCTGGAGATTCCCAGTGTGGCGGGCCCCTGGCCAGGCCTTTGGAACTTCAGCTGCCCTGCAGGGTCAGGAAAGCCTACACGTTGGAAAGACCCTGATCATGCTGTAAGATTGGGGGTACTGGGAAATAAAGAAAAGAGACCTTTTGAGAGACTCCTTCCTTCTTTCACAGCCAGCGCATCTGTGGCCTCAGAGATCAGGGTGTTGCCAGGTGTGGGGGAGGAAGGATCCGGTGCTTGTTGGCCCCATGGCGTACGCTGGTTAAGGGCGAGGGCTCTGAAGCAAGGCAGCCCTAGTTTAAGTCCCAGCTCTGCCACCTGCCAGCCGTGGGGCCTTGGCTCAGGGCTTAGCCTTTCTGACCCTCACTTTCCTCATCTATGTCACTCTACCCTCCCAAAGTTAAGAGAATCAAATGAGATAATTTGTGTAGAATAACCACCCCACTGAGTGCCTCCTACATAGTAAATGTAAATAAATGGAAGTTCATTCCTAACATTACTAAAATAGACTGTTTCATTTTGGGAAAAATAAAATCCCAACCCTAAGCAGATGTAGCCCTTTATGCAAGTGACAGGCACACAGCCAGCAGGGTTGGAACCTGCCCTGAAACTCAGTCCCCTTGCTTCCTGGTGTCCTCAGTTGTTCTTGTGTGTTTTTTCCTTAATCCTCACTGAGAACATGTTTACTGTAGAGGAAGAAAGAGAGGGAGAGAGAGAGAAGCATTGATGTGAGAGAAACATCAATTGGTTGCCTCTCGTACTCACCCTAACTGGGGACCAAACCCACAACCCAGGCATGTGCCTTGACTGAGAATTGAACCTACGACCTTTTGATATATGGAATGACAATCCAACCAATTGAGCCACACCAGCCAGGGCCTGTGTCCTCAATTTTGCTGCACTTCAGATGGGGGCCTGAGTGTGCCCCACCCGCCCAGTGCCCAACAACACAAAAGGATGAGGAAGCAGGCTCCAGACACAATGCTCAGCCCTAGAAACTCTCTCCTGCCTTTGACCTAATTGCTGTTTGGTGGCTGCACCGGGGAGGTGCTTGTTTTCATATTTGGAACTGAGATTAGGGCTGGCTTCCTGCTCTCTTGTCTTCCAGGCCAGGGGTGAATGGGACCCCATGCATGCCCTCAGACCACTGAGAGTAGAGGTGCCTTCAAGGGGCACCAGAAAGCCTGGCTGGAACCAAGGTCTCCCAAAGCCTCCAAGAGCCTCTGTCTCTATAGCACATGACTTAATCAAGTGACCCTTTGGGATAAAACTGCCTCCGGGCACTGAAGAAAATATAACTAAAATGGCAGCACCAAGAACCAGCCTATTTGGCTGGTTTGGAGGTCGGGCTGTGGAGAGAGCCTGGGTGACTGAAATTCAGAGACAGTCCCAAAATTCCACTTAAATGGTTTCCAGCGTCCCTCTTCCTGTCCACATGGCCCTTCCTTCCCTTCAGCACCCTGCTAATGAATGGTGCGGCTTTCCAATTTTAATAGGAACTGCTACCATTTACTGAGTGCTTATTGTGGCTCTGTGCTGGAGGCTCTGTGCTGGACCCTTTTGGGAAGACTGTTGCCCAGGAGTCCTGCTATAAAATACTTGTTTTAATAAAAGATCACAGGAGCAGAGAAGTTTGTAGGCCAGTGGTTCTCAACCTGTGGGTCGCGACCCCTTTGGCGGTCGAACAACCCTTTCACAGGGGTCGCCTAAGACCATCCTGCATATCAGATATTTACACTACGATTCATAACAGTAGCAACATTACAGTTATGAAGTAGCAACGAAAATAATTTTATGGTTGGATCACAACATGAGGAACTGTATTTAAAGGGCTAGAAGGTTGAGAACCACTGCTCTATAGGCTGCTAGGGCTGCTGCTGGTCAAGGAACAGAAGCCTCTGAGCCAGGTCCCAGTCTCTACACTGGGCTGTCAGTTCTTCCTCCATACAGCTTATGTGTCCCTCTGCCACTTCCCCACTGCCTTAGAGTAAGGCCCTGACTCCTGAGTAAGACATACTTGGCCCCTGCCTACCTTTCTAACTCCACCCCTTACACCACACCAGTCCTGCAGACAGGACAACCTTGATGGAGTCCTGCTGCTTCTTGCCTTTGCACATGCTGATGCTTTTACTGGAAGGCCGTTCTTTACCTGGCTGACTCTTACTCATGCTTCTGTGTGTCTGGGTGCCACCTATTTTGGAAAGCCTTCCCTGGCCAACTCAGGCTGGTACCCATTGTGCCACTTTCTCATCCTATATAATAAAACCCTAATATGCAAATCAACCAAGTGGCAAAATGACCAGTCACTATGACATGCACTGACCACCAGGGTGCAGGCACTCAATGCAGGAGCTGCCCCCTGATGGTCAGTGCGCAGAAGCCAGGCTCATGGCTGGTGAGCAGCTACGGTGGCAGAAGCCACTCCTGCCTTCGCGGCAGTGCTAGGGACCCCTTGGGGGATGTCCACCCCCAGCAGGCGGACATCCACTGAGGGGTCCCGGACTGTGAGAGGGCGCAGGCTGGACTGATGGACCCCTGCCCCCAGTGCACAAAAGTCATGCACCAGGCCTCTAGTTTATTATAACAGAATTGCAATAGCGAGTTTACTTTGTGTCTCCCTAAATTGGGGATTGACTAGAGGGGAGGAGTTGTCCTCTTCCTCACAAAACCTGGTAGGTCATTCTAAGCCTCTTGTACTGACAAAATTAAAAAAGGTGTGTGTGGAGTAGAGGGGTGGGGGGAAGGTCCTGCTCCTTTCTGAGCAAGACACACATAACCTAGGAGCCATAAAATCAAAGACTGATAAATTTGACTACAGAAAAATAATTCTGCCTAGCAATAGCCCAAAGGCAAAGTCAAAAGACAAACAACAAATGGGAAATTATCTGTAGCTCACAGAACAGAGACCTAATTCCCCTAATACATAAAGAGCTCCTGTACATTGATTAGAAAAGGACCAGGAACACACAAGAGAAGTGAGCAGGTGATAAAAACAGAGTACACACACACACACACACACACACACACTTTTAAACATAAAAAGCTACTTAACTACATTGATGAAGAAAGTGGTGCAAATCAAACTCTACTGAAATAAAAGTTTTCACCTACTAGATAGTGAAAGTGTTGCTCTTTGGAGAGCAATCTAAAAATATCTTTCAAAATCACATATATACCTTACCCAGCAATTCTAAGGCTTTGTCCCATAGAGACACTCCCATATATGACATTATGTCTCAACCAGGCTGTTCACTGCAGCATTGTTGATGGTAGTAAAAGGCTGGAAACACCCTCACCATAAAAAGCTGGAGATTGCTTAAATAAATTAGGGTCATTCCTACAGTGCAGTGGTTCTCAACCTTGGCTGCACATTAGAATCACCTGGGAATCTTTTTAAAATCCTGATTTCTGGGCCTCATCCTACGGAAATTCTGTTTCTTTGTTATGGGGTGGGGCCACAACATTAGTAACAAAGAAACAGAATTTCCGGAGGATGAGGCCCAGAAATCAGGATTTTAAAAAGATTCCCAGGTGATTCTATTGTGCAGCCACGGTTGAGAACCATTGCTGCAGTGGCACTCTACAAGGCAAAGTGTGGGGAAGCTACCCAGGTGCTAGTATTGGACAATGTCTGAGATATATTGCTTAAAATGCTAGATACAGAACAATGTATTGCATGCTAGCTGTGTATAAAAAAGTGAGGGAGAAAAGGAGAATATGTTCACCTTGGCTTATGTATACATCAAATACCTATTGAAAAATAAACAATAAATGAGCCATTGTTTGCCGTTCAGCAAGGAAATTGGGTGGTTGAAAAACAGGTCAGAGGCTTACTTCAAGTTTTGAGCCAGCTGAATAAATTTTCTACCACAAAAACATTTAAATACATGCATTTAATAAAGTATTCCTGCCCATTTGGCTCAGTGGATAGAGCAACAGCCTGCAGACTGAAGGGTCCTGGATTCAATTCCAGTGAAGAACACGTACCTTGGATATAGGCTCGATCCCCAGCTGTGGTCAGGAGCCCGTGGGAGGCAACCAATCAATGTGTCTCTCTCA